ATTGTTGAAGATCTCAAATACCAAGGCAGTCACAAAGAGTTGGGGAGTTGTGTACCTGAGGGGTGATGTGATGATGTTCTCCATGTGATTATCATAGTTGTGCCTTTGTTATGAAAATGTTGTGCTTTTCTTTTCTATTTTTTTTTCTAATTAAACAAAGGTTCCCGGATAGCCAACCAGTAGGGCTGCAAATCACACATAAAGCTCTTTCAAATAGGATTGGGCAGGCTTAAACCATGTAACAATTTTAGAAGATAGATTTAATAAGGATAAAAATTATGTGAATCAAGAAATTAAGAGATGTATCTTGGAAAATATAATAAAACTCTCAAAAATACTTACAAATGTGACCTTCCTGGCTTTAGTGATATTAGTCAAGTGTAAATTTCAGGGCCCAAATATATGTCATTACATAATTTAGTAAGAAAATATTTATAAAAAGAATTAAAATTAAAAAATTTTGTTAATTATGAAAAGTACCACAGTAGCTTGAAAATAAAACCTGAATGTGGTTTAATATAAGACAAATAGGCTTATTTTCCTAATGTTACTTTTATTTTTTAAGATAAAATCACCAAGAAAATGTTTGTTCCACTATTTACATGACAGTTAATTTACATTTCTGAGGGTTCATTTGAAGTAACAATTTGTACAGGCTGGTTGTCGTCAGCTGAGGAAGACTGACCATACTTATTCAGCTTCCCATCATGATCGCTCTAAAGGAGAAATCTAACATATCATTCCCATTGCTAAAGTTCCTTGACTACTTCATAGATGCTTTGTAAGTAAATGCTAAGTCCCAGCAAAGTTCTCCATGATCTGATCTTTTTTTCCCATTTCCTTTCCAAGTCTTGTCTTCATCCTCATATCTTTATGTGTTGTGTTTCCTACAGATCTGTGAGCATTCAGAGTAAAGAGACTGTGTACCTACATGCTTGGGTGCCTATAGTATTTTTAATGGACCCATGAGAAAACATGAATATGCAACAAAAAATCTAGTCTATCTTTCCTAAATGGGTCAGAATTGGCACTAATCAAATGAGGTATTCTGCTGTGAACATGTGCTGTTATTTCCCCAGCAGATTTTTAGATAACAGATGTAAGGTTCCCTGTAATAAGAAGACGGAGAGACTCCAGGCAAACAGAGATCCCTCTAAGCATGAAGCTAGGAAAGCCCTGCTTCCTGAAGTAGGATGAATACTTCATCCCCAGGCTACCCACAGACCGCATTCATAACAGCCCATAAAACCTCTTATTGTTTTTTTTTAATTCTTGCTCTCTTAAAAAATATAATTGTCAACATATTTCTATAACCAACTTTGTCTTGTTCAAGCAACTTGAGATCATAGATATCTAATATTTTCAACAATGGGTTATATGATAACTTCATAAAGATAATTTTTGCTTTCTTTTGAACTTGAGGAGAGAAAATTTTGGCCTATTTTCTCCATTTGTGAAAGTTTGTCTCCTACTTTCATTACTGCAGCACAGTCACCTCTGAGTATTTAAAAATATGTAAGATTAGTCTCAAAAGGAAGAGAGGGAAACAGTTGCACCTAAAATTGGATGTACCAATCATGTTGGGCAGGAATCCTGGGAAAAAAAGCTCATTTCTATAGCCTGCATGCAGAGGAAGAGCCTTAGGAACAGGTTAAGGTAGAAATGGGCACTGGGCAATTCAATAGAACAGTGACTCAAATCCAGACATCAAAGTAGAATTCAAGTGACTTAAAGGGTTGGGTTACTGGGTATAAAATGATTATTTAGAACCCAACTGAGCAACGTTTAGCAAAATAACCAGAGTGATTTGCTCAGCACTAGGGATGGGTAGGGGTGGGGAATGAAGGAGCCTGGTTAAAAATCTTCCATCAAAGGTTGGAATTTGTTCTAGATCTTGATGTCCGGGATAAAACTTTCAGGTATGTAAGACTTGAGCTATGAAAAAGAGCTGAAAGAGGAATGTAAAGGGGAAATCAAATTTTTCAATTGCATTGGCTATGACACCCGGTGTTTCCTTTTGTAACAGGAACTAGGCTAGTTTAAAGTAGCAGCACTAAAATCTTGAAGAAAACATGAATGTATGAATTTATATGAACATATGAGTAGTAAATTATTCTAACTGAATTCAAAATAGCTTGGGCAGATTGAAATTTATCAGCTCAAGATATCCAAACAAAGGGTAAAAACAGAATTACAGAAAATGCTGGATCTAGTTGGTACTCAAGAACAAGGTCAGCCCTTGACACTGACACCTCTGAGACTCTATTCCTCCCTCCATCTCTGACCTGTGCTCTCTTGCGGCTTCCAGTTGGCATCTCTCTCAATGTAGGTAGGTTCCTACTCATAATGGGAAACCGACACAACCCCTCTGGGGGCTCACATCCCCATCTACAGCTTCTGATACCAGTGGAGAACATATCCTGCTGTATTCTGGTTTGAAATGTCCTGGAAAAGGCCTTGAATTGATCAAACTTGCGTAACTTGATGATTCTTGGGCTGATTTGAAGAGAAAGGTGGGATATAGCTGTTACAGGCTGAACTGTGAATATTCTAACACTAGTACTTCAGAATATGACTGTATTTGGAAACGATCTTTAAAGAGGCACCTAAGTTAAAATGAGGTTATTAGGCTAGGCCCAAATCCACTATGTGATTGATGTCCTTATATACAGGGTAATTTGGACACATATGTACAGAGGGCAGACCATGTGAGGATACAAAAGATGGGCATCTACAAGCCAAGGAGAGAGGCCTTAGAAGAAACAGTCCTGCTGATTCTTTGATCTTAGACTTATAGTGTCTAGAATTGTGAGAAAATAAATTTTAGTTGTTTAACTCACCCAGTCTGTGGTACTTTGATATGGCAGCCTCACTAAACTAACACAGAAACAGAGCCACAACCCCTATTGAGCTTCACATCCTCATCCATGACTTCTGCTATCAGTACAGAACATACTCCCCCATGTCCTGGCTATAAATGTCCTGGAAAAAGCCTTGAGTTGGCCAAATATGAGTCAACTGATGGTTCTTGGATGACTTTGGAGAGAGGTGGGGTGTCATTTGGACTGGTTGCCTTTACCTGGACTGGCCAACTGTGGCTAAAGAGCAGAAGCCAAATAGGAAGGCAGCTCCCACTGGACTGACAGGACTGTGCTTGTGGAATAGCTCTGAAGGAAAGTGGTGCTGATGCAAGAAAAATAAGGATTAAGGATGCTTGAAAAAACCCATTGCAAGAGTTTTACCAAAATTCTAAGACCCATTATTTTAGGTTCTGATTCTTTATACAAATGCATCTATTTAGCAAGTTTTATGGGAGATTCCAATAATAAACTAGTTTAGAAATCATGGGTTTATAGTCAAGACGGAAGGTGTTTTCCATGCTCTTTCAACTGACAAAGCTGTCTTTATAATATTTTGGTGCCAAGATTGGTACCACATAAAATCCTAAAATTATTCCTAAAATTTAAGTCAAAATTGCTGAGATAGATGCCCTGATCAGTTCACAGCTGAATTATAAATAAATTATACATTTCTGATAGTTTCACACAGAGCAATATAATAATTTGTTTTTAGTAAAAAAATCAAATTTTTTATTGAACTCTGCTTTGGTAGAGATATTTTTTTATCTTCCTCTCGTGTAGAATTTAATCATTCATTTTTTTCCTCCCTTTTCTACTTATGAATATTTTATATGTTTATAGTTGGAAAACATTAGGGCTTAAACACTGAGAGCAAAGTCAATGAAAAGAGTTTCTTCATCAGCATTAAGATATAAAACAAGTTAAATAATCAGCCAATTTTACAAAATGCTAAATTGTGCATAATATGACCTGGGTAATAAACATGAAAGTAGGCTTTCAGAGTTACTTGAATCACAGCTTAGTGGGATGATAAGTGTCTGTTTCAATGTATGTGGTAGAATGGGGCAGCAGATTTTATGTGACTGTGCATTGTATCAGAGTTCTTACTCTAGAACTCTCTGGCATAGGTGGACTGGTTAGGAAGTTGACTGCAGCATATCTGCTCTCTTGAAGATGCACAATAGGTATGCAGTAGCACCTGCTAAAAAATGAAGCAGCTGATGGCAACACTAATCAGAACCTTAAGGATGAGTAATGGGGAGGGTGAGTCAAAGAGATGCAGCAATTCAGCATTAGTGGAGTAAGCACTGTTATAAGATACGTAGAAGAACTTTTCCACAGCCAGTGAGTTAAAAAAAAATGAATCCTAGGTCAACTATGTTATGTTGAAGTTTTAAGGATGGTTTAATGTTAACCTACCAAGGTAAAGTGGGCTTTGCATTCATTCCAGGTGCCCATAACAAGAGGAAGATGGAAAGTTTAGCAAATTTTCTGTCTACCATAGATACCCACAAGTTTAGATGGGTACAAATAACTCTACCTGAAACAAACTTCCCTGCTAGGGAAAGATCACGGTCACTTTTGTTCACCAGTCTTACCTGGCTCTTACCTGGCATGTCAGAATAAATTAGGGCTCAATAAGTAATGGATTCAATTAATAATTTACAAGTGAATCAATGAATGATGAGTGAGTGAATACATAGTTACAATTGGAAACATCACAGGGGATTATGAAGGCTTAGGCAGCGATCTTGAAATCATAAGAGCAAGGAGATATTTCACATTCACTTTGGAAGAATACCAGCTATCAGAGTAATGAACAGCTGGCTGAACAGATGTTCTTGAAGAATCAGATTTGGATTTCTAGTCCAAGCATAAGCTGAGGATTGGAAATAATGGGCTCTTGTCAAAGCATAAAGTAAATCTCAAGAGAATGTGATTGACCATGTTTATCCAAATTCTAATCACTCTGCTCACCAGGATTTGCACTGGGTCCAGAGGGGAGGCCTGTCCTGATAAAAGAGTAAAAACAGTCACAGTAGATCATTGGCATGCTTGGACTTCATATCTGCAGTTCAACTATAACCAAGTAACACAAAAGTCTCTAACTTGTAAAGATTTTTGCTTATTTTGAGGTACCCATTTGAAGTAACAGTCCTTTGAGTAGCTGCGCAGCTGTGAGTCACTTATCTTATGAGTGACTCTAACTCCCTTGGGAGTCAGCCTCTCAACAGGACTTCGTTTCTCCACTTCCATGTAGCAGAAAACTGCTTTCCCTTCTGTTGTAGCCCCTGGATCCACGGCCTAGGAAATAAAAGTCAAATCAACACAAGTGTCTATTCACATCCCCTGATGTCTTAAAGGAAATTTATCATTATGTATTTTTCAAATACTTATTAAGTGACCAATATACAATCAGAATTAATGTAGGAATTATAGATGATACAAGACAATAAGACATTATCTCTTACAGCATGGAAATTATGCTCTAATGATGATAAGATGTATCTAGACCAAAATATGAATAATACTTTTCACAAAAATATGTACAAACTTAAAGCACTGTTAAAGACAGAATATTTCTGTTATGGAATGGAAACATTATTTTCTTCTAGAGAGCAATAGGAAGACAGGATAATGAAAATGGAATTTAATGAGATTTGAAGAATGGGTAAAATCTGATTCTGCAGAAATAATAGTAATAGAAGCAATTATTTATTGAGTTTTTACTACATGTTAATTATTGTTCTTTTAGGTTGTGAGGTAGACACTTGTATTAGGCTTAGCTAAGTTGTTATAATTAAGAGACTGAAAATACACAGTTTCTTAAAGAGCAAGAATTTTCTATCTCTTTAATGTATCACGTGAGTTTCAGCATCATATTAGCAGTAGCTTTTCAAACATAAGCTTGAATCTGCATTTCTCTGTACATGGCCCAAGTACTCCACTGGTTTCTATGCATGGGAAAAACTTTATTCATCACCTCTGTGCCTTCATGAGGCAAAATGAGTTCCTTGTCAAGGATGGCACCATCAGAGGAGAGAGAAGAAATAGGTACAATGTTTTTCTTTTTAGAATCCAAACTGGAGGCTAAATACAGGGGAAAAAAGGTAAGGAAAAGAGAGAAGCAAATGCAGTTCCTGAGACCAGAGGGATATTGGTTAACTACCAAAAAATGAGTGAGAACCAAAGTCCTTTTTAGTATACATTATTCATTTAGTAAATGAAAAATAAATTATTTATGAACAGATAATTGGGGAAGGTAGATAGATGAATAACAAAATAATTTTAGGAGTATGATAATGCTGAGCATTAGATTGTTATGGACTTTCAAGATCAGTATTCCCTTACTAAGAGATAATTCAAGTAAAAAGCTACACACATTTTCCCAACCATTAAGGTTTCCCACTTACAATTTGCTATTTCAGTATTGACAGAACTTCCCCAATTTACTTCACTAAAACTAGAATCTACACCCTAAATAACCTGGTTTCTATTTTTATAATTATGAATGAATTGATTTAGAGCAAAGCCTATGTCAAAGAGTTGACAACTCTGTTCTTAATTAATTAGCTGAAGTAGAAACTTTAGAAGTCTAGATTTGAGAGCCTCTTAATGGCTACGTAGTGTTCCAAAATAAAACTTAACTGGAGCCATACACTACAAAATTAGAACCCAGTGGAGACATTTCTAAAATACAAAATAACTCAAGAAAGAATAAAGGAAATAGGAGGGACGTATACTCAGATGCTTTCTACTCCATATTTTTAACGTCAAAAGTTATTTCACACATTTTGTTATTGCCCTTCCAAGAAGCAATAAAAAAAATAACATCAGGCTCTGGGGATAACATCCACTTTTTGGGGGGCTCTAAAGTGTCTCTTAATTCTACAATGTACAGTTTCAGTTGCTTTAACACTGTCTTCTTTTATAGAAATTACTGTATATGCTGGTGGATGAGATCCAAAGAACTATGGCATAGAAATAGCTGTTCTGCAATTTGTCAGAAACTTGAGAGAATCACTCTTAGGAATTTCTAAACAGATCCTGAAAAGCAGCAACATACTTAATTACTGAGTTTAGGGTTCTGAGCCATTAAATTTAGATAAGCTCTTGTGCCTTAAGCTCAGGTGTCATTGATTAGGAAAAAAAATGTATTGAAAAATAATTTTAAACAAAAAGCAAAAAGCATTTTATATGAAAGAGTAGGGGGTTCAAAGTCAAATGTTATTTCCTTCATCTCCATCCCCAAGAGAAAGACAAATGTTTCCATGATTTCAAAACCACTGGTTGAAAAATGAATAATTGATTTTCTTTGCAGATATGCAGGTAAAATTATTTTAACTAAATTTTACTCCATCAGTTCTTTCAGCATTGAATAGGCCAATAGGGTATCAAAGTAGCAAGGAAGAAATTAAAATGATACAGGCATGTAAGACAGAACAATGAATTAATGAAGTTGAGGAGTGAGGAAGGAAAGCACAAGTTAAGAAGAGTGACTGAGAAAGGAAGAGATCCAAACAGTCAAAAAAGGGGGAGAGATGGAAAATTATGGTTATTAATAAAGAGTCAAGAGAGGCCCTACCTGTAAGGGCATTTAAAACACATAGGCACACATTCAATAAAGTGAAATATTAACTGTTATTGACAACTTTAACAGTTGTGTAGAAAGATACCGTGTTTGTCAAGTAGAACAATTCAAGGTAGAATCAAAGTTAAGCTGGTTGAGAAGGAGAATGAAGAAAAAAGTTGCAAAGATCCTCAAATAAATGTAGAAAATGGCACACGTCCTGCCTGCAAAATGAAGATGGATGAAGATTAATGGACTGCAGATATTCTGCCCGCACACTTTTAGGGAGATGGTTTTGTTTATTAATCTCAGCTGCCACAAAGAAGTGAGTCTTGGGCACACACAGACATATTCCACATGGCAGTAGGAAGCATCTGTTTTCAGAAATAACTCTGTACTCACATTACAGAAGCGTATTATACACATATATATGATAGAGTGAAATTGCAAGGCAATTATGTTTCTTGATGTTAATTTGTACCTTTTATGTGACACTGATTGTGGCTTTGTGCTTTTCCTGATTCTTTTGGACAAATCTCTCCTCCAATTTAAAACAATCTCAGATATTTACATGTTGCAGATACGTGGTATATGATGCTGTATCTCTAAAAGCCGTCAAAAGGGATCATTAACAGATTCTAAAATGATTACTCTGCTGAAGTGAGCAATCAGTTAAAAATGGATAATATAAAACTGTTATTCTGAATCTATAAAATGATTATCACTCAGAGCCTACAGAATATAGATGATTATGCAGGAAAGGCCCAACACCAGGCAAAAAGCTGATTCCAGAATCATCTTAGTCTAAACATTATATACCAGGAATAAAAATAGTGAATTTGGAGATAGTCATAATGCAGGCCTATCAATCACCATATAGTAATCTGTTTATTATTTTAAACCCCATTTAAAATACAACCATCAAACAAATGTTCAATCATAAAAACAAATTATGTGTGTATTGCTTTAGGGTTACAAAACATTCACATTAAATGTATTTTATTTAATCCTTAAAAATTGTCAAATAGGAATCATTATCTTTAATATCTTTGGCATAAGAAAGCTGGAATTAATATTGATCAAGTTATCTAAAATGTTTCAGCTAAGAAACAGAGGAGTTGGAATTTTACCCAAGTTTCTCTAACTCCATTCATTAAGTTTACCAAAATTTAAGGGCATGCCATAGGCCAGGTCAAATACTGTACAAGGTAATAACATCATGATGAAATTGACAAGGTCTGTTCCCTCATAGAAACTGTATCTCAGCAAGGCATTATCTAAGTAGTTATTAAAATACAATTTAATAAGTATCAAGACAGACAAGAGCAAAAATCCAGTGTTTTATCAAGAACCCCACCTTAATTTGTTAAGTTTAAGAAAAGATTCCTTGAGAAAATAAGCTGCAGTGGAAATCTGACAATTTATTTAGAAGAAAGGTCAGTGCCAAGTGGGGCAGAAGAGATAGTATACAGGAAGAGCTGAAGCTGGGACAAAGGTGGCTTTTGTGAAGAATGCATGATGGGGCTCATGTCAAAAGAACAAAGAGGAGAGGAAATGGTACCAGCTCTGACAGGTTATAGCTATAAGACAAGCCACATAGTGTTCTCCTGAGTGGTGGACAGTCATTGAAAGACTTTAGTCAAAGAAGTGATATAGAAGTAAGATTAGATTTGGTACAAAGAAGAGATTGGTAACAATGGAGAGAGGTTTGATTTAAAGATGGGCTGATTAAAACAGACACCTCATCAGGGAAGATTTACAGATGACCACATATGAAAATATACTCAACATCATATGTCATTAGAAAATTGCAAATTAAAACAATAGAGATATTACTACATGCCTATTAGAATGGTCAAAATTTAAAACAGCAACACCACCAAGTGCTAGTGAGGACAGAGAGTAATAGGAACTCTCATTCACTGCTGCTGGGAATGCAAAATGGTGTAATCACTTTGCAAGATAGTTTGTAAACAGTTTCTTACAAAACGACCCATACCCATACCATGAGATCCAGCAAAAGCACTCCTTAGCATTTATGCCGATGAACTGAAGAGTTATGTCTACATAAAAATTTCCACATAGAAGTTTACAGAACTTTATTTATAATTGTCAAAACCTGGAAGCCACCAAGATGTGTCCTTTAGTAGGTGAATGGATAAATAAACTGTTCTATTAAAATAATGAAATATTATTCAATGCTAAAAAGAAATGAACTATCAAGCCTTGAAAAGACATAGAGTTAGCTTAAAAGATATGACTAGATGAAAGAGGCCAATTTGAAAAGGCTACATACTATATGATTCCAACTACCTGACATTCTGGACAAGGCAAAACTACAGAGACGGTGAAAACTGAGAAAGCAGAAACATGAAGGCTGAGACACTAGAATACTCCCCATCTAGGGGAGTAAGTGATCTAAAAACACTCCTCAAATAAGCATCACAAATAATTTGAAAGATTAACTTGCTGACTTGAAAAGCAATTGTGATTGCCATTATCTGTATTAAAATCTGCACTGCTTCTCAAGAAAAACATGTACACACTTTTAACAGGAATGCTTTCTCCAATCTGTCTTTGGCTGCTTCTTTACCATATCTCCTCCATCTCTCCTCCCTTCAGCCCCAAGTCTCTCTGTTCTCCACATATACCCACACAAGGATGGCCCTGTGTATTTCACAGGCCTTTGCTTCCGCCTAGAACATCTCCTCCATCGGTGACCTCTCCCAGGATGAATCTGTTCAAATACCAACTTTGTCTCAGAAACCCCAAGGCTTCTTTCTTCCACTATATTTTCTATATCTTTAGAACTCCCATGCTCTTACCTTCATTATTGCACATGTCCTACTGAATTATAACTTTCTTATCGGTTGCTTTCTTATGGTTTCTGTTCTACCAATCTTTGTTTCCTTGAAGACAAGGCTATTCCTTACTTAACTTGCTGTACTCAGTATCTATGTTCTATACTCAGTAGTTATGATGTCAGTAAATGTTCAATTAGTAAGTTATCTGTTTAGCAAACATGTAGCACAAACTGCTTAGAAATCCAAACATGAGCTGGGTTTTATATATATCTGGTTTTCAAATAGAATTCCTTATAGTATATTTCTAATATTCAAGCAGTGAACAAAAATATACTTTCTAAGGAAAACTGGTAGTTGCTGTACATATAATGGTTGAGAGGGGCTTATGTTGTCTCTCTATTTAAAAAAAGGTATTTCTTTATAGTGGTACAATTTAGGACCTGTATTAAATGGCTCCATGTAGCAGCCTGTATTATTAGTTATAGAGAAGGGGCTGATAAACTCCAGTTATCTGGTTCACCGTTTGTTTTTATAAATAAAGTTTAATTGAAATAGCACCACACATTACTTTATATATTGTCTATGGCTGTTTGACAATGATTCTTCCCAAAAATGGTTACAAACTGAAGTATGGGTTCTGAAATCAATTTACTTAGGCTTCAGTTCTGCTCCATCAGTTATTAGACTTCTAATCTGGAGCAAATTATTTGACCTTTCTATTTCTTAGTTATCTGTCTCAAAATGGTGATATTAATAAAACCTAACTCATAGGTACTTTAAAAAATAAATGATATAAATCTTGCAACATATATTTTAAAAGTGATCAAAAAACATTATCCTTTAATATGGATGATATTATTTCAGTATTTTATTTTTCTTATCTTAATAGAAAATGGGATAGGATAACAGGATTAGGAGTCATTGTAATACATATGTAAATGTTTGGCATATGTCTGGCACATGGTAAGATTCCAGTAAGTGCTGTTAGCTTGCTTTGTTCATCACAAATTTGGAAATACTGGAATATAAATAATTTCATTTAAAAATCAATTATTGATCAATGCAAATTTCTTGAACAGTCTTCAACCTTTATATATTAAGCTTATACCAACTGTGAATACCAACTGTGAATTGTATATGTTTACTATCCACAGTTCCAGAGTGGCATCATATTTGCCTAGAAACTTATCAAAAAATGTGATGAAGAGAATAATCCTAGTTTGCTTTTGCTTCCTCTCTTTACAAGAATGCAATTGATTTGGGGGACTATTTGGTGTGAAGGGCTGGTATTCCCAACTCTGTTTATCCATTGACTGCCTGCTGGGAAAAGAAAAAGTAACAGGTAGAGACAATGTTCTGCAGCCTGGAGGTTCTCTGGATGATACGAAGCTCTTTTCACTCAAACAAAGCAGCACTGAATTATGATTTAGCTAAGTCCAGGCCCTCCCTTTTCCCAAGCAGCTGAACACAACCGATAGCACAATCATGTCTTAATCCTAAGATTCCTTTATCTTGAAATTATTTAAGAAAATTGGAGTGGTGGAAAGAATCCATGGGTCTAATATGCAGAGTTGCCTAAAACTAAGGCAAGACACTCCTGGAAGCAAGATACTTAATCTAGTTAAATTTTATAAAATTTTCTCACAGGAGAACGCTGAAGCTGCTGCTCATGCAATTTTTTTCACCTGGAATGCCCTTTATACAAATTCTATAAATTCTTCATGGCCAAACCTTACTCAGTTTTCAAGGCTACCACATCTGGGGAGCATTTCTTGATACACCTTTTATTCTCCTTCAGAATTCTACAACTTTCACGTAATCATTTCTGAGTTGTTTTAAAATAAAAAAAACATAATACATAGGAAGCATGTAACAGACTACAAATACATATATATAAATGTATATGAAATATATATATAGCTGAGTATATCTATATATACATATATATACATACATATATTCTCCAAGAGTTCTACTCAGGGGGAGGAGGGAGGGGAGCTTGACTTTCTAACACCTAAAAATTGGTCTTGACCCAAAATTCCAACAGTTTAGCCTGTGAGGGTGCATAATTCCTCTTCCAAATGAATGCTTAGTCTCAGGAGGCCAAATCTCCTGCAGGTTCCCTCTTCTTGGCCGTAAAGCTCTTTGATCTGCCTTTGTGAATCACATCATGTGTCATCTTAGATTATGAACTCAACTTCTGGTTATTTTCCAACCACAATCAACCCCGCTGAGGGATTGTGAGTTCCATAACATAACTTTTTTTGGTGACCTTGAGAGAGTCATGAAGAGGGTTCCTGTCCAGCAGCACTCAGCCTGTTACAGTTTTGAAGTCTCCTTTTAACTCTTGTCTTCTTTCCGTTTCTGCCCCATCCCCATTCTCTTCCTTCTAAATTATTCCTGGAAACCCACATTCTTCTTATTCTGTTATTCAGAGCAATGTGTCGTTTTCACTGTAGTTACTGTGTAAACCAGGGTTTAATTTCCAAGCACGTGGCAAAATGAAAGACACTTCAGTGGAGAGGATTCAAACTGACTCCCCTCTTAGAATGCAGTCCTTCCTGCTTGCCACACCATTCCTCAGGCCACAGTCACATTAACACTCAAATTTCAGGGATCAGCATGTTTTTCTTCACCAGGACGGGAATCACTCATTTAGAACTGTAGCTGTCAATCTCTCAATGATTGTTAACTGACTTTGACTGAAAAAAATAAATGAAGAAATGAATAAACAAATCACAGATTCTTCAAGGGCAGAGAACAGCTATATATCCATTATCCTAACATACAGCTGGGCTCATAGGAGCTACTTAATAAACATTTGATGTGGTTGAATGCAGAGCTAAAATTTGGGAGACTATTATTTGTACTAGACACATTTTTGCATATTTTGTAAATGTTTATAAATCAAATTAACTGTTAATGCCCGTGCACACTGTAGGATTTCACTGAGCTCTTTAGTTATCATGATTAATTTATTTAGTTCTTTATGTTAAGGCTTTAAACAGAATAACACCCTGCTGTCCTAAACACTATCAAATATGTGCTTCTTGCTTTGAATTGTTTGCAATCTGTAATAATCTAATCTTAGATAAGTGTCAGATGATAAAAAGATAATTGTGCTGTGACTGGTTATATTAGTGTTAACTGAGTTAGAAGAGGGAGGTAAACTTCTTTATAGAAAAAGAAAAGAATACATAAGACCCAAGTGGATGAAAGACCAAGATAAAAATCACCCTAGGTTTAAGTCCTTAGAATGGCATTTCAAAGTATGCATAGTTTTCCATAGGATCAATATACTTAACAAGAAACTTAATTATTTCTTAAATTTTCAAAACAATTTGGGATCAAAAAAACAATTTATGTGAAGCTAAGTTGTGTTTTTATAAAATGAAGGCACATTGTAACTGGAGTGGATTTTAAAAGATGAAAATTATTTAATCTTAGTTTAAAGTTGTCAAAGAGTTAAAAGAGGTAGCTTGCTGATATGTGATGGCTCAAGGTGGAGTTGGGGGAGTGCAGAAGGGCTGATTGGATTGACACAGGGGTGGAGTTCTACTCATCACCTGTGCATGATGCCGTTTCTATGAAGAAATAATGGGAGCATATGTCAATCACCGAGCAGAAAAACAAGAGCCCTCACAAAGGCCTATAAATGTTCTTCATTCTGTTTCATAGCCCTGGTGAATTATCCTGACATCGTTGAATACATGCTCTACTCCAAGCACCTTACTACAAACTTTTTATTCATTTTCTCCTTTACACTTGAGCACAACCCTTTGAGATGGGTATTGTTTATATGCTTTCCCTTTGCATTATAAAACTGGTCTGAGAAGTTATTTGCCCCAAATCATGTGAATAGAAAATAGTCCAGTAAGAATTCAAATCCAGGCTTAATGGATGTTTGAAGAGTTGGCAAGATCTGAATGGTGTAGAGGAATATAAATGTGTGGCTTATTGTTCAAGCAGATACAGAAAACAAAAAAAAAAATGACAATAAGAGTAGGCTGTGCATAGAAAGAGGGAAAAGATAGTGCAATTTTAAAGACTGATAATGCTTTTAAACAAAAACAGGTTATGTACTGATATTATCTCAATTAATCCTCACAATAATTCTGTGAATCAATCATGCGTCCACGAATATACTGTTGAGGAAAATAAGCTGAGAGAAGTTAAGTAACTACATAATATTGTAAAACTTTTAGCCTGTAGAGCAAGGATTTAATCCAGAGCTGCAAAACCCATAACAATATGCATTATGTTGGGAATATATATACTTATCATTAAAGACAAAACTACATAAGTATTATAAATGCAGATTCCTCCTCTAAAAGTAATTGAAATAGTGACTATGCTCAAGAATTTGCTGTCTGGCTGTTTGGCATTAAAACAGACAGTAAGGTGATATGCAAGAAGATAATATTGTTATGGCTCTGAAGGAATGAATAATTTTCTTTTAGACAGATGCAAAAATGGACACCAAATAACTCAAAGCCAAGATAAGTTAGAAATGCAAGAAAAAGAGAAGCAATGGCTGAAACTATGGAAGAGGGTAGTCCAGGTGAGAAAAACTGGTCAAAGGAATTTTGAGAATGAGACAGGGTGAAAAAAGATTGAGACACACGGCTATTGCTCAAGAGAAGTGACGATATTGGGCAATAGGTAAATCTCCATTTAAAACATAAAGACCTAAGGAAACTGGTGAGAGAGAGAGAGAGAGAGAGAGAGAGAGAGAGAGAGAGAGAGAGAGAGAGAGAGAGAGAGAGAGAGAGAGAGAGAGAGAGAGAAAGAGAAAGAGAGAGACAGAAAGAAAGAAAGAAAAAAGGAGAAATAAAGAGAAATATTAAGCAATTACAGAGTATCTTAAATGACATGCCAAGGAGTTTATAATTGATCTGCTAGGCAATATATAGACATAGTATAAGATATTTTTAATGATTCTTTAAAATACCTTTAAAAATCTTGAGAGGACAAGACTTCTGCAGCTTTCCTTATAAATTCTGTTCAGACTAGCCCAGGGAATAATACAGTCACCTG